AAGCCAATATTGAAAGCGGAGGTTGTGGACGGATAGGCGAATGCCAAGATCGCGGAAGGCTATTTGAGAGATCAGGTCAAATTCGGATTCAATTGAACGCTTCCCTTGCCCTGATACTTCGACTCCCACACCGAGCTTCGCGTTCTGGAAGTTCCTTTTGGAAAAGAAGCATTGCAGCTCTCGCAGGCGAATCAAGTCAAAATCTGCGATAATTTTGGCGACCCTTGGCCAGGCGTGGGAGAACGCAATCAGCTCCTCAAAGTCCATGTTCTCGAGGGTGTCCAAGATCAACTCGTCCGGCAGCTTGGAGAGGGTGCACTGGAGTTGCTGGTGTCTTTCTTGCTCCGTCTGGACGTCTTCGGTTGGGGGCTGCGCTTTCGTGGCATACCGGCGAAGTCTCCTAATATCCGCCTTGGTCTGCGTGCCGTCGAAATCGCAGCGGGAACAGACGAAAGTCTGCTTCATGGCCAAGCTCTCTTGCCGAAAGTGTTTGAGACCGTACTTTGCACCAGTATATATCTGCTCGACGTTCTCGCTGTTGAAGAAGCTCAGCATCTGGATAGCGATGCCCTTGAGCGTGTACGCGGGCGTATACCCCTCGGATGTGTTGAGAATGGACGCGCAAATGTACGAGCTGAAGACGTTGGGATGGTTCATCTTCGTGTCCATCTTGATTCTGGGGGCGACAAGAGGGTATCGGTCTCCAAACTCGATGGTCATGTGGATCGGCATCCAACCCTCGGCCTGAACAACCAGGCAAGCTGTTTTAAGATCCTCATCTCTCGTTCGAAGATAAATACGGGGATAGGGTTCGCGTTGAAGCTCAGCGATATCCTGCAGAAGGCGTTGTCGGAGATGGGTCTGGGACGCCATAACGACAGCAAACGACGACAGCAGACGAAGATAGTGGACAACGACAACAGACGACGACGAGAGACGATGACAACGAAGACAATGCCAACGACGACAAAGACGATAAAAGCGAGTATATAGGGAACGTCAACTCTTATGGGAAGTGTGGTTGGGATGTCTTTGGCGATGTTCGTTGATGGATGGAGGGTAGAGCCTGCTGACTGGAAGACGGAAGACGGATAATGGACGCTCGAAGAGAAGTGGACGTTAAATAAAAGACAAAGACATTGAGGCCGCTTGTCGAAGGTTTGTTTTGTCGGCGTGTGAGTCGAATGGCGGCTGCTGACAGTGGAGGTCGTTTGGCCTCATCCACCTTGCGGGTTGATTGAGGCCTCAATGGGGCAGTGGCATCCTGCGCTTTGGTCCTTCCTCACGCATCTCCGCACCACAATTTCTTCCTTGAATAAAACATCAGCAGTTTCAATTGGATCAAGACACCCCTCTGGAAAGGAAACAGGCACCTCTCTGATCGGAAGCCTGCCTTTTCTTTGAGTGGAAAGGCAGCGAAGTACCGCAGCCGCAATGGATGTCAGCAAGCTGGATAGCCGACATTACTGGCGCAATAAGCCAACAACACCCTGCACATGGGCGTCAAAATAAGCTTAATTGCCTTGCATCGTACAGCTGATTCCCAATTTGGTATCTGTGGTGGTCGCCGCGGATCATGGTTCTGCTATTGCTCGCTTCTCACGCCAAATTCGGAACAGCGGTCCGTTCTCGCATGTGGACTATCGCGTGTTTGATTCTCATGAGCTGAATTACATTGCTGCTTTGAAAAGAGCCAGCCCCAGTGCTCATCGAGTCGTGATGCAAGAGATGTTTTGATTGATGCGGTCTATTCTCCCCCGTCTTTCTATGATAACTCTTTTCCCCTCCTAAGAGATTCGAAGGTCGATGTAAGAGAATCTACATGGACAGATGATACACTGATCAGCGAGCAAGCTCGCCTGTTTGACTGCGAAACAAAAAAAATCAATACTCAAGAATTCGCATTTGCCTATTCCAGGCCTGTGCCGGGCAGCCAGGCTGAAAGTTGGCTTTACCATCGCCAACCCCACCGACTAGGGCCAGTTTAATCAGAAACTACAAGCACATAGTTTTAACTATCGTCCAATGATGTTAAGGTCAAACAAGCGTGTAAGGGAAGGGGGTCCAGCAGGGGACTTAGACATCAGAGGCAAGTGTCGGTCAGAGAATCAGGATAGCATGAGGTGAGTGTGGGTGAGCGTCGGTGGATCTCGGTAAGACTCGGTGAGAAAGTCTGCCTTCGGTCAGGCAGATTGTCTCTGTGCACGGACCACATAAGCTGTTCAGGGTCTACCTCCCCACCCGCATCCCCCAGCTCTTCCCTCTTCCAACGTCACCTCGTCCTTCCCTCTTCTTCCTCTTCTTCGTCTAGTAGGACCACCCTGGCACAGGACTCTGCTGGAGTCCTAGCAGGGCTTCATGATACCTTCTCTCAACATCAAGCATGCGCAGATAATCGATCTAGTAGATGCGCTTGCATTTCAATTCATTTCATTTCTGGGCCAAATGGTTTATTCCTCCCTTGACTTACAAGCAACGTCGTGATACTGTATTGGTGGCTCTGCATGCGTGCGGACACTGCGAGCATCGACGACAGCGACGACTTCACTCACGATAATTTCCAAGGCATCACTCTCAAGGCTTTTGGTATGAACATACTCAATTCGTTAACTTTGCGATTTCCAGACAGTTCCTTTCAAAGGAGTTGGTCAAGGTTCATCATCTCCAACGCCCAGCGCCAAATCAATACCATCGTCACACTAGCCCCAACCGCCATTGGCTCAGCATGTTTGCATTGGCTGAGCCATTTTCATCAATACAAGTAGGAAAACAGCAAGAATATCCGCTAAACAACATCGTCACCAACTTCAAACCACCGCTCAACCCCTCAACGTCTTCCTCCTGCCTTCACCCCAGCCATATAAGCCAAGGCATCGTTCACTAGAGTAATGGTTAGTCGCAGATCCACTGATGAACACCAACAGGTGAGATCGTGAGGTGCGGGGTAGTGCTTACGTTGTGAGTCGACCCTCTCTCGGCCAGCGAGGTACCACGTCTCGTTGACCCTGTCCTCTTCCCTCTCGTCGCCCAGACAGGGGAAGAATTGGACGTCTGTTGAGAGGGGAGCGAGGTCTGGTGTGCGAAGACGGGGAATTCGGGGTGCCCGTGGTGGGAGCGCTGCTTCGTATGGCACCAGAGCGGGTTCCAGGGTGTCATCGGGGAAGAGGATGAAGTCGTCCTCGGGTGCAGCCGAGAGGTCCTTGGAGTCGGGTCCATCATCAAAGAGGCGAGCGTCGTGGAAGCGATGAGCCCGAGAGAGGTGGGCGTCGTGGTAGCTGCTTTGGTCACTCCATGACCCGATTGCGAGGAGGTTGCTCTGACTCCGGTCGCGTTTGTGCGATTTGCTGGTCCTCTGGGGTGCCCGGGGCTTCTTACGAGGTTTCTGGGTGCTGTGGGAGTACTCCTCGGTCATGTGACCCGGGAGAAGGCCGGGCGAGTAAGGTTCTGGGTGGAATCCGCGCGGCGAGGGCTGGTTGAGCGATGTTGGTGTGAGCTGACCGCGAGGGCTGAGGAGGGCAGGCGAGGTGGTGAAACGGTGAGGGGAAGTGTTGCCCTGCGATGACGCCATGCTGTAGTCCATTTGAAGCGAATGGCGAGTTGGTGATCTGAGGTGCGGTGATTTTGTGGCCTCTGAGCGGGACGAGAGGGTGACGGGTGCAAGCGCCATTGTTGGGTGAGTCCTGTCTACTGATGAGCACTGTGTAGTAGAGAGGGGAGAGTGTTGATTATCATGATGGATGATGATTACCTGGTGGTATATGTGGGAGTATGAGGAGGAGTGGTCGAGATGAGGTGATGAGGGCCTCCAGTGAGGTGGGAAGGAAGCCCGGTTGGGGGGGAAGGGCAGCTCCAAGTGGTAGCTGAAGGGGATTGATGGTGTTGAGTGGTCTGGGCAAGGTGCAAAGTGATGGCCAAAGTTGGTTTTGGGGTGCCAGGAGAAAGTTCTCTGATAAAAGTGAAGAAGCCAGAGGAAGAGGGAGAGGTTGAGGAAAGGAGGGTGGTGGGATGCCAGCGGGTTTTATGTGGTGAGTGTCCCTGCTGCGCACTCTCCTCGGTATGGACCAATGAGAGTGCCGGATTCCACTCACCCCCGTTGAGCACCTCGTCCCGACCCGACACACCTTGGCCCGCACTACCCTCCTCTTCCTTCTGACGGCATCCAAGTTGGATATCATCACAGGTTCGGTCCTTTGGAGTTCACCGAATCAATGCAATTGCTCGCAGGGCTTAGGAGACGTCGTTGGATGATGCTGGAAGCTATTGGTGAGCCTTGGAGCAAGTGCGTCGAGGCCGGCGACGGTGATGACTTCTTTTTCTTTCCGTTGTCAAGCCCGTCTTTGATAACATCCCAAGTACCTTCATGTGGTCTGGGGAGATGAATCATGCTGTCACTTCTTCTTTCACTCGTCTGGATCTTGGGCCGTCGTCTTGGTGTCCTCGAAGAGCTGCAAGTCTGGCAGGTTCATTGCGAGCATTCCAAACCTCTTGCTTTTGGCTTGAAGGATCATGCGAGGGCAATCGAGTGATGGAATCCAATGGATGGCAATGCTCGTCAATTTCTGCATTTGATGGTGGTCCCGAATGAGCTCTGCGATGCCGTATGAAGTAGATACGGAAGTTCTCTTGTCATGTGACCCTCCACTGCGCTCTTCCTCAGAACCTGCCCCGTGCACCCTCCCGCCAACGCCCCGTTACCTCCCCAGCTTTCATCCCCCACTTGCCTCTCGTCCTCGCCTCTTCTACTCATCCTTCATACTCATCCCTCCTGCTCACCTAATCCATTTCTCTCCCTTCCAACCCTTCTCAGCCGTCACTATCGATAAGACTATGCCCTGCTCCCCGAACCTATGTCCCACCATCCAGTTATCAGAAGTCGATCAGGCCTCTCAGTATCCCCTTCGTCTCTGCCAATCTTACCTCGTCATCCCAATATGATCCCGAGCTCGCCAGCCGAACGTCAGGCTTTCTGCATAGCTTTCCTCTATCGAGACGGCACCACGTCAGAAGCTGTGAAAGCTACTGGCGCCGACGTCCCAGTCAAAGTCAGGCTGACGTCCCCCCTCCCACCTCCACCACCAAAAGTCCACTCTCGTAAAGAAGTTGAGCTTCTTGAGGCGCTCCGAGTCCCAGAAGAAAAGCCCGAAGAGCCGGCAGTTGGTCATGCGCAGGTCATTGTTGGCGAACCCGGGGAACCACTGGTACGCCCAAAACCATGCCTCTTCGGGCCCCGTGTCAGTGTCATCGGTGACTATGGATCGCCGCATGTGTTCTTCCCACTCTTCAGGCGTCCATGCCGTCACGGCTTTCTCGATGGGCAGGTCGAGAGTGTTTAGCTCATTGCATTTGTCGACGGCATCGGAGAACCATACATAGATGTCGCCGACTCTGTTGTAGCTGGCATAGCGTGGTTGCTGCGGAAGAGAGGCGAGGAGCTGATAGAACTTGGTAGCAGGCGTCATGGAGACTTTGTAAAGGAACTTGATACCGAAGCACAGGAGTCTGGCTTGGTTTTGCTTGATGTGGCAGTCACCCCGCTCCAAGTTGGGCGGGAGGATGGGGCCGGTCCAGTAGACCACTTGTGCTCCGTTCCTGGGGCCGCAGTGGTGCTTTGATAACGCTTCCAGCTTTCTCAACTCCACGAGAGCATGTAATGCTGGAGGCGCAAGTCAGACATAGTGGGGATTCGACGAGGAGATGTTGCTTACGGGGTCCAATGACTGCAGCTGCGAGATAATCCCTCACGGCGACGAGCTGCTCCATCTCCCAAGGCGACAGGTAGTCAAAGAAGTGTGCTCTTTGGAAGTTGACGACGTCAAGATTGAACCGCACGACTTCCGGATCCTTGAACAGGTTGCAATAGACCTCGAAGCGGTAGAGTGCCCGTTGGAAGCGGGCCGTTTCCAGTGCGGAGGGTTGATCCGCTACCGGGGGAGGTTGTGGCCAGTCTCGGCGGTCGCTTGCGAGGCCTACTTGTTCTTTGGTGAGACGCTGCAATGCAAAGTCTTGGAATTTGGTTGTGAGATGAAGAGCGCATCTATGCAGATCTGATAAGGCGGCTCCGTCGGCGAGGCTGATTTTGTGAGGGATGAGCGGTCGCTCTTTGACGTATTTATCGCTATACTCAACGACAAGATTGGGGTCTTTGACATCGAACTTTGAAGACTCTAGGGCCATGATTGTGTCGGGCAAAACTCGTCGGTCGATTTCGTTTAGAATGACCTGACGACATGCTGAAGGGGCGCAACGAAGCCATGTTGGAGAGGTAAGGGCTGCATTTCTGAGAGAGCTGAAATCCGGGAGATGGGAGAGCACAGAGACCCAAAGCTCATCTGGAAGTGCGCTTCTCGCTGTTTCGGTCGTCATCGTTTCTGAGATGACCCGTGATAGATGTTGCGATGAGTCTAGTCAGACGGCGAGAATGATGAAATCAACCAAAGCTTGGGAACTTCCAAATTTGGTCAAGAAAAAAGAGAAAATGAAGTATGAGAAGTAATGCAATGACCAAGTGCCAGACTTAATGATTTAAAGAAGGGGCTGGCAGCATGTGAAGTGAGCGGGGCTTGGCACGGTGTCGTTCCTCTGCTAAAGAAGTCCGTCTTGTGAAGTTGCGCCAACGGAGCCCCTGATTGACATGCACTGTCGGGATTGTGGAAATCAAGCACCAACTGAGCGGTACAAGTTACCCTTGGGCCGTTTGGTCTTCGTTCGCGACCGCAATGTGTACACGAAAGCAAGACGAGAAATGTGAAAGAAAAAAAAGAGGGCAGATAAGCCGGGTATTTGGAAGGAGTGTCGTCGTAGGATGGATGATACTGCGCCGCGCCTGACCCCCCCGCGGATGGGTCAAGTCCGCGACGTGGAGGGCCGTGTGGGTACTCGACCGCTGCCGCCGCTGGAAAGTACCCGCACGCCATCGACTCTCCGAACACTCCGAAACGGTTGTGGCACAGCTTCGGATATGGCTGTGCGTCTGTGGCTTTCCTCACTCGCCACAAGTTCCCCTCCAGCCACAAGATCGAGAGCATGTGGCTCATGGGCTAATCCATATCCGGCTAGCGCTCAATTGCTCTCAAGTCCTGTCGACGGTGCTTGCGAAGGTTCAGCGGATTGATTGCTGGCCAGCAGCTCCCGTCGCGCGTCAAATCCCTTCTCGGCGCCTGCCTTACGGACCTCTTCGCGAACGTTACCTCAACAGCCGCATCCCATTTCGCGTGTCCAAGTCGCGCATTTACGAAACGAAGACCCATTCGAGCTTTCGTTACTCGAATTTCGATTCCGAATCGCCGCGATGGGCAAGAAGCGCGGCCACCCCGACGTCGAGGACGTCCTATCTCGACCGTGGTGCTACTACTGTACGCCCAGCTCATGCTTGCTTCCATTGCCCGGATGCCCATGCTGACTTGTTACCAGGCGAACGTGATTTTGAAGATCTGAAGCTTCTCATTTCTCACCAAAAGGCCAAGCACTTCAAGTGCGACCGATGCGGACGTCGTCTGAACACAGCTGGAGGTTGGTTGAGCTTGCGCCGTCGCCTCCAAACTGTCGCAAGCTAACGTTTTTTCTTTTCCAGGTCTCTCCGTCCATCTGAACCAAGTCCATAAAGAAACTCTTACCCAGGTCGAGAACGCGCTGCCCAACCGCCAGGGACTCGATGTCGAGATCTTCGGCATGGAGGGTATCCCCCAGGACATCCTAGACCAGCACCGAAACCGCATCATCCAGAACTTCTACCAGGCCCAGGAGGATCGCCGTATTGCCACTGGCAACCCTTTGCCTGGACAAGCAAAGCAGCCGCGCAAGAAGCTCAAGGTTGAGACACCTGAGGAATTGAAGGCGCGTCTCGCTGAGCACAGAGCAAAGAGGGCCGCTGGGCAAGTTGGAGGAACCAGCGGCAGTCCCGCCAACGGCGCCCCTGCCAGCGCAAGCCCTGGTGCATTCGTATGTGAAACTATCCTGTTGACGGCAGACTGTGCTCTAACAAGCATTGCAGAACAACTCTCCCTACCCCCCACCCCAAGCACCTTACGGCGCTCCTCCCGACCAGACCTACCCGCCTGGAGCTGCACCTGGCGCTCCCCAATATCCCCAACAGGGATACCAGTCCGGTAACTACAACGGCTCTTCGCTGCCGGCGAGGCCATCAAGCGGCCCGCAGGCGGCTGCCGGTCTTCCGCAACGACCGCCTCAGTACGGCGGCCAGTTCTGGAATGGTACCGGCGCTCCGCCTCAATACCCTGGCGCATCGACTGTCGACGAGCTGGTATCGGGTGCGGCACAGCACGGCGACGAAATCGACGAGCTCATTCGCCGGGCCGAGTCTGGCATCAAGGCCCCGAAGCCGGAGGACGAGGAAGCCGCTGGAGAAAAGAAGTCGAAGAAGGACAAGGAAAAGAATGTCAGGATGGTTTACGCCGATACCGAAGTCAGTCCGGAGGAGCGGATGGCGCAATTACCCAAATACGCCTGGACGCCGGTTGCCTCGTGATCGATGGCCCTTTTCGAGCTGGACGTCGGCCGAAGACACGGCGGTCTCAAAACGTCCGACCTGAGGCCCAACGATGTTTCCATGCGAGATTGCGAATTTCTATCCTCGGGGCAAGGACGGTATCCCATCGGAGCGGAGTTTCAACGGCGTAGCTGGGTTTAGGTTGTACGTAAAATGTAAGGGATGCACTGAAAATTCCGTCATTGTACTCGTCGCAAGCCATGGCGCTGAACATGATTGCAGATTTGACGCTTTAGATGACATTTTTTTCGTGAACGCGCCTCCGTTGTGCATCAGTCAGGACTTGACAGCCACAAATTGAAGGAGAGCTCTCTAGTCAATCTTTCTCGGCTATCATCATTGGAAGCATGAGCATAGGTTAGTCTTGCGATTCTCTCCATCATCAACAGGGACATCAGTTAGATAGCTGTGAGCGCGGCACTCCTGACGATGATCTCCAACCTTAGGAGAGACTCATACGCAGCACTTTTGTTTCGATGTCATGGACGTCTGAAAGAGACCACTTTCTCTCGGCTGAGGCTCGTACGCCCTTGCGCACGGCTCACAGCGTTTTGCCAGCAGGTTAGTAACAGCAGATGAGAGCCGCAACATGGATGTGAGGGCTTCACGTGGCCAGGCCAGAGCTCAGACAGCATTCCCCTGCCAACATCATATCGCGAGTCATTATGAGGGAAGGTCAGTAGGTCAGAGGAGCTCAAAGGTTCGTTCGACAATGTTTCGAAGTTCAAATGTCTAGACGGCTCGTACGCATTGCCTCATCTTCCCAGTGCCAGGGCGCCATGTCCCAGAGCCGGGTAATTAGCGGTCGGTACTCGGAACGCCGTGCTTGTATCCGTACACGCCATCAGGCAAATTCGTGGAGATGGCTCGCTTTGCGGCTAAATGCAACCTCTCCACTTTGGGTGCCACGGGACTGCATTTCCCCCGCAGTCGCTTTTGCCGTCCGGGCCACGCCGTTCTCCAAATTGACGGCTTTTGGGGTAGTTTGCTCGTCGTCGTTCGTTCTCATGTTTGCTATTTCTTGAGTTCTGTATTGGAGTCTTGGCTTCTAGCTGGATGAATGATCCAAGTAGCCACGATCAGCCCAGCCGAGTCTTATGACCGATGCCACAGAACAAACGACTTTGACCGGCGAACACCTGTAGCTGTATTGGCCAACGCGTGGGTAAACATCCATTGCCGGTAACCTGTCTCGTTTCGAGCCGGTGCGCCGTCCTGCGGGGAAGCTCGACTCAAGCATCTTGGAGGTTGGGGTTTTCCCAGTCCTCGTGGAAAGACGGCTTTTCTTCCTACAGGGGCCAAGAAGCTAACCCGCCCCCTCTCCGGCCCGTCATCGACGCTGCTTGGCTTCTCTGTGGCCCTCTTTAACCGTCGGTCAGGCACGATCATCCCATGTAAGAAGAGGTCTCCAAATGTCCCTGCGTGCGAATGCCGCTCCATCATTGGTGGCAAGAGGACTTATTGTGTCTGTGGTGTCATAATTGGTTGCGCGAACATTTGGATACTACCAGACCATGCCTGATCAATCTACTTTTCCCCATGGAAGCATCATCCCGGCCTCGTTCTCCAACCGTTCCTGGCCTGAGGGTCGTATCGTGCCGGTCAATTGGGTACTCAGCTGCGTCCGTATAAGAGCTCAAGCTGTTCCCCAGATTTCTCCCGTGATGCCGTCTGTCCCGTACCCTGCTTTGCGCCTCGCGTGCGTCTCTCATCCTGCCTTTTTGACCTCCCAGCCGTGGCCAGAGGCTGTCTTTTCTCAAGTAGACAGGCCACTATTCGCCAGCTCCTTCACGACCAGGTCGGTCGGAACTCTCCCACCATGAAGCCCTTCTCCTGGGCAACGCTTGCGACCCTGGCACCTCTGGTGTCAGCTTTGGGACAGCAGGCCATCGTCTCGTTCAAAAACGGCGACAACACGTTCCAGATCGCCGGAGGCAATGTCAAAGCCGGCCAGATTCTTGTGTCCAGCGACGACTACTGGGGCGTCATTCGAGCTGCCGGAGATTTGGCGGTAGACTTTGGTCGGGTCACTGGCACAAATTACACTCTCAGCAATGGAGAGGGCGGCGCGAAACCTGCCGTCTACAGCTACGCTCCCGTCGATGTGAGCAACAACACGATTGTAAGTTCTGTCACCAACTTCATCAGGTCCTCTAGATCGTCCAAAGACGCCAGTGGCTTGGCTAAGATGCTCTGGCCCAAGATGGAATGACTGACCTTGTAAAGTACCGCGTTCAAGACAAGCAATCCTTCGACGGCCCCCAGTACTCCGACCCGGCCCCGGGCAGCACCGTCATCATTGCCGGCACTATCGGACACTCAAAGTACATCGACGACCTCGTGAAGGCGCAGAAGCTCAATGTCAGCGAAGTCGACGGAAAGTGGGAGGCTTTCGTGAGCCAGTTGGTCGATGAGCCTATTGCGGGATGCTCCCGCGCGCTCGTCGTTGCCGGCAGCGACCCCCGAGGAACCATCTACGGCATCTACGATGTAAGCGAGCAGATTGGCGTGAGCCCTTGGCACTTCTGGGCCGATGTGCCCACGAAGAAGGCCAAGGAGATTTACATTCTGCCCGAACGCAAGGTTCAAGGTTCGCCGTCGGTCAAGTACCGTGGTTTCTTCCTCAACGACGAGCAGCCGGGACTTTCCAGCTGGGTGTCGTAAGTAC